TAAAAGATGAACGTTGCAAACTCAGCAAGTTGAACCTTACTTTGAACAAGATTACAGACCAATGTGTATCACTCTTGTGTGATGCATTAAAAGATAAACATTGCAAACTCATCAAGTTGGACCATACTTGGAACGAGGCTGCAAAGCAATGTGTATCACTCTTGTGTGATGCATTAAAAGATGAACATTGGAAACTCACTGAGTTGAACCTGGATAACAATTATATGACAAACCAAGGTGTACCACTCTTGTATGATGCATTAGAGATGAACATTGCAAACTCACTTGGCTGACCCTTGGGCTCAGTGATATTACAGACGAAGGTACATGTAGATCACACATATATGATGCAATGAAGAATGGACATTGTAAAGTTTTAATTTAATGAACTTGATCCTGGGAAGTGTGCCTCTGGCACTAAGTTGTTAACTCACTAAGTTGTTTATCTATAATGTGTTTTCAGATGCAAATCATGGGTAGATTTAGAACCAGTCCAGAAAAGGAAGACCTCCTTCCTTTTCTTGGGACTTTGCAGTTTTTTAATTTTATTTTTTCAGGTGTTTGTTTATTTTGTTCTGGCTTTTTTTTCATGTTTTCAAGCATAGTTAATATGTTTCAAGGGAGGGGCATGGGCTTATTTTATGCATGATCAGGCCCAAAGTTTTTTATTATTTATTGAAAGGCATCCTAAGCTCATGTCTCAAGAAATTATTGATTATTGATCGTGCAAGAAACTGTTGAGAATTTGAACATGTTACAAGGAGTAGTACATGGGGAAAAATATGGTTGAATTACAATTCTTAATATTCTGAAATATGTACATTTTACATAATTTATAAGATTAACAAAATTTACTCACTTCTTGGAAAACATCTCCAAAATAACAATACTTTAAACAAACAATTTGGAAATTAAATTTCTAATTCCAATTTGGTTTTCATAAATATGGATACATCTTTCAGCATTTATCTCATTGTGTAAATAATCAAGGAAGGATCCATGAATAGACAATATCTAGGGGTAAGAAAGGTTTGATCGAATAAAAGAAAATTTTTAGTTTAATTTTTCTCTCTGGTAATAGTAGTGATGCTTTTCACTGTGCGACAAAGAATAATTTTTCCTATGTAATTGGTTTTTTCTTTTTTCTGTTTGTCTTAATTATTACCATTGGTGATGGCCCTTCCCTTTGAAAGACTTAAATAAAATGTAGATGTAGATCTGTGATATCATCCTCTGAAAAGAATTCCTTCAGCAAGTTGTTGGGGTAAAATATTTTAGGCAACCACCCACTTCGATCTCAAATTTACCACCACAAATAAAAACAGTTTCCATTCGGAGAAAGGAAATACAAATCTCAAAAATTCTTGTATTGTGACGAAGACATAAAACAATTTTGAGGAATGCGTCCACTGTTCACTGCTTTGGAGTAGCTGTAGCTAGAGCTGACTTGACTCTAAGAGTTGTACATCACTCAATGGTTGATTGACAAATGGTCCAGTGGGACCTAAGGCTCCTTTTATAGCGTGCCTTTGTGTAAAACAAAGCATTGATCACACCTGCCAAGAGGCTGTTGATGAAGTCTTTTCTGTGAATTGTTATTGCTGTAGGTTTATACAGTTCTCATATGCCAAGGCTAATTGCCTGT